CTCAGCTTTATGTAGTTGGACACTTCCCGCCTGCAGGGAGCTCAGCAGCCTGACTCCAGTGGACGTGGCTCAGGTATCATTATGGGTTCAGAATTAGGAAAATTGGGTTTTATTCTGAATATTTTCCTCATACATGATAGGGTGATAATTGAATCCTTCTTCCCCTGACAATCCTTTTTCTTTCTTATGTGGTCACATGTTTAGGGAGCGTAAGCTTTTGCCATATATTTGCAGAAATCTAGCCTCAGAATCTACTGAATTATTCTAGGAAACTCAGAGACTGAACAAAACTGGATTTTTCACTCTTACCAAAATGTGAGTGTCTGGAAATTTCAAATTGTTGTGCAGAACCCTGTGACCACGAACTTCCCTTCTCAGTGCACATCCTGGTGCCGAGACGAGGATCCTACCTGTGACCTGGGAAGACTGAGACGACCTTGACCAATGTCAGAGCCATCTTCTCTCGTTTCTTTTGTATTCTGGTGGTGTCAGTCGTAATGTTTTCTCTTTACTTTCTGATGTTGATTTGAGTAGTTTCTCCTGTTCTCCTAGTTAGTCAAGTTCAGTGTTTGTCATTTTTCATGTTTCAAAAGGAAGAAAAATGAGTGATTTGTTGACATTTCTAGTGATTTAATTCCGACGTCATTTATGTCTCTTATTGACCGTAAAGGCTCATGAACACACTAATGAGAACTCGACTGAGCTGTTCCTTTTAACCCCACGTTCTTCTCAGACTCAGCGAAACCTGCGAGTGCGTCTCCCCAGTGGACCACGGAGCTGATGTGGCCCCCACTGCACGACTGGGATGAGACTCTCGGCCGTGGGCGGAGCACAGGCAGGGAGGTGTGAGGTGAGGGGGCTTTGTCTCCCAGGAACACGCCTCTTCTCCTTCCTCATTCCCAGATTCAGTCATGTCCATCAGGCTGGGGAATCACTTAATTTCCCTTGATGTAGGGATGGAGGCCCAGGAAGGAGACTTGTCAAACCTGGGTTCTGCAGATGCTGTCTTGGAGAATGAGCTTGTTTCTTCCCCTCTGTCCTGAGTCTGCCACCTGATAACTCCCCTGTTCCACCGCACCCCACACGGAGTTTTCATGGCCACAGCCCCACACCCTGCAATGTGGCACCTGCTGCTTGCCTTCTGGAGAACATCCCTACCCTCGTTACCTCCTGCCCTTGGTCTGCCCTCTAGTCACTGCACAGGCTCCAGTGTCACTTCCAATCCATGTTGCACCCACATGGGGTCTGACCTTAAATCCCTCTTTACTCTCTCTTTGATTCCGAGTCATGACTTTCATTCTAACAGTCCTTTGCATCTTAGCAGCACTCAGGCACAGGAAAGGGTTAACTCAGCAGGCCTGGGTCATCCAAACCACGTGCATCCCTGAAAAAGTCCATTCTAGGAACTCACCCATAGTCCACTCCTGAGAGAAGAGTTCTGATCCCTTAGCATACTGCTCCTGGTAATAGCATTTTTACACCAACGTTATTAAGGTGTGATTTACATGGAAATACTCTACAATATTTAACTTCTGGAACTGAATGAGTTTGGGTGCATGTGTACACCTAACCAACATCAGGACATAAATATATCCATCACCTCCTAAGGTTTCCTCCCATACCCGCTAATATAATTATTTTTTGTTATCATCATTTATCTTGTTTTTATATTTGTGTGGGGGGGTGAATACACTGCAGTACTTGATCACACAGTGTTCATGGTGAATGCCAGTTCATGCCCCAGGGGCTGCTGTCTGAGCAGTGGAGGTCAGTTGTGCAGGTGCTGCAACACCCGGGACTGACCCCAGTGAGGAGCGCTGGCCACCAAGGCCCAGGTGAGCTTCCCTGAGGACAACCCCTCATACTTGTCGTCATACATCACTGCTGGGAGAATTGAAGGTGGACAGGACACTAAGCAGGGAGAACACACCTGGGCACTGGCACCTGTTTTCTCAGGGAGTTAACACCTGTGCTTTTGCTGATTTTAATTCATATCATTTTCTGTAATAAACTGACCGAGAGTATAATATGTTACTCTAAGACCTGCATTTATATTGGTCCTAGAGGATGAGGGTGGTCTTGGAAGACTCAATATAACTACACCAGAGTGGATTTCCCAGAAGAACCCTGCCCGGTTGACACACAGCTAAAGCATCGCTTAGCAAAGTGAAGGACAACAAACTGGGGGGGATTGAAAGTCTGATGCCTGGATGCTCACAGAGTCACCTGGTGTGAGACAGGACGTGGGCTCCAATAAGTCATGGAGGTAAAAGTTATCAATGGATGTGTGAATGTTAGATCAACACTGTAGGAGTTTATTTCCCAAATACAAAGACAATGTAGAGATAATCAGAAATAGTCTAAATATACAATCTGTATATGTACTAATAATAACTGAAATGAAAGCAAAATAGTTGCTCTCCATCCTGCCCTGTGCACACTGAGCCAAGGCTACAAGGGTCAGATCCACCATCAAGATGAACAATTGTCCTGGAGAAAACTGCTCTGGCCCACGGTGTCAAAGAAGGTTGTCCATGTGCAGGGCAGGGGAGGGAAACATTAAAGTACGTAATCCAGAGAGTGCATGGAAGAGCAGCATCATTTTGTGATGTGATTCATGTCATTAATTGACCTCACCAGGTTAAGGAGCAATACTGACTAAGGGACTACGGGCTGATGAGCATGGCAGAGTCTCCTTGGCTTTGTGCCCACATGACTGAGGAGGCATCGTGTGCACTGTGGAGTGACATCTCACAATAGGGCAATCACGGGTGGGTGCAGGTGATCCGGACACACGGCACGTTGTTCCTGGTGGGATAACTGACCCGGTACAGGAGGTAACAGACTGCTGACCCCGTAAGGTAAGTCACTTCCTTTGAAGAGTGAAGCGGACTCTCCAGATGGAGAACTGATTCCACCCACCCAAGTCCTGCTGACGTGGCTTTATGGAGTTGGCGTCGTGATCACGTGTTACGCTCCTTGCCCAGGCCACGGGAGACGGCTGGGACACAGGGAGGCGCTTTTGGTTCTGCTCCAGTTGCCCCCACTGTGCAAGGTCAGGAACCACCTTAGAAGCTGTATAGGTTTCTCTCCCCCCTCAGAGTTCCCTTTGGGCCTCAGAGATACTAAGGACGGGAGGTGGATACAAAGGAGAATGGAACAGACGCAGGGGAGAAGGAAGGGACTCATCCCAGGGAGGTGGGCGAATTTACACGGTTACCAAGGAAAGAGGTGGCTGAAGAGGACAGTGATGGGTTGACACAAATGTATAAAGCAGAACCATGAAATGCTGGGTGGACCAATGGTCTGTCGATGTTCAGAAAGCTAAGCACATATTCCCTGTTCATGGTTGTCTGCAGGAACGTGGAAATGCAGGAGACAAAATGACTTTAGCAACTTACCCTAATACCATGGGGGCCTGTCTGGCAAATCAGCAAGGTGAGGGTGGTCGGAGGGCTGGAACAACTGTCCTCACTCCCAGCTGGGTGTCCCGGCCCTGATCATGCTCATGTGCAAAGTGCCAGTTGGTGAAGAAGAGTGA